GGAACCTTGTTTTGTTACTCCCCGTCTGTTCAAAACAGACCTGAGCCCATTAGAAGGGCCTCCCTTGTGTGGGAAGACCACAGCTGTTACTGTAAATCTCATCCAGTCACTGTATCACCCCCATTTTGTGGCTCTGAAGGATGAAATTGAGAAATGGAATACTGTGCAGTCATCCTTTACATCTCCAATTTTAGGCCTTTGCCATCATTTTCATGCTTTTATTCCAAATCAAATAACATTAGTGAGCTACACCACCTTCTGATGAATGTCTGGTATTGAGCACTGCTTTCAAGTCTTGACTTTTGGGGGCTTCCTTTTATGTTTGTTGGAGATTTTTTTTTTTTTTTTTTTTTTTTAATTTTCCTTTTCCTTCCTTCCCTTCCTGCACTTTCTTTGAACAACCTTACTGGCAATTGAAGTTTGCAGTTTGAATGATATACGTTGTTGCCGAAACGTGTCTCAATCTTAGGTTGTTTTCCAGGAGGAGGCATGTGCAGAAGAAGGTTGCTGTGTCTTTTAATCTCTGTGGAAGGAGTAAAGAGAACTTGGTAGAAGGACATCGGGGGCTTTAATCAGAAATAAGAAGTGGTTTAAATCATTAGCACAACAAAGCATACTATAAGCTTGAAGATAAAAGTCTCTGGGGAAAGACTCCTCAGAAAATAAATGGGACTTGATAGATTTCCATATCATTTATAACTTCCCTTAATTACACTTGGAAGACTTGCCAGTAAAACTGGAAAATTGGCAGCCTATATCCATTATAGTCATTTTGCCGACCATGGCAAGCAGCTGGCTTTACTGGATTTTATTTCCCATCACTCACAATTAATCATCAGCTGGAGATGTCTGAAACTCTTCAGCACAGAGCAATGCTGTGTGACATTCAGGCCGCCTGAACAGGCGAAAATCTGCTGAGTGAATGGGCTGAGTTTTCTCTCCAGCTAACTCATTTTGGTGCAAGGCAAGCTCCTGCTTAATGAGTGCCACTCTGATAATCGGATGCGAATGGGAACCTTGACCCTATATGTCAAAGGAGAGGACGCAATAAGCTGGATGAAAGATACAGGATTTGGGTCTACAAACTTTACACCAATTAGAGGGAGAGCAGAGAACTACATCAGGCCAACTAAGTTTATCAAAAAGACTGGCGAGGCTTGTGACCATTTTGTAAGCCTAACATTGGAGACATCCTGTCACAACCAGTAGGTCTTTATCGGATGATTCACAAAAGTGGTGGAGAAGTGCGGCGCACACAGGTCTTTCAGTAGCAGGGCCCTCGCCTGTGAGCTGTCTTGTTGAAGACTGCCTTTTGAAGAGCCGTATCTGTGCACTCGGTCAGTGCTCCCGCCTCTGAGCACGCGGAAGGAACCTGGAAGGTACAGCCTCTGCCAGGCCCACTGCCTGCTCCCTCACAGCTATGGGAGGAGTAGGGAGCGGGCAAGGGATGGGTAGTGGTTTCTGTAGGAACAGATACAGCTGAACAATGAAGCTTCCAGATTGTTGAGGGAGCAAGCTGTGAGCTGTGTCTTATCAGAGCTCTGTGATGCCATCTCGCTATTTTTGGAACTGGAGCCCCAGCGCTGTGCTGAGCCAGTGGGCAGAGCACACCCTCCCACTTCCAGCCATTTCCAAAACCTTGAGCATAGCTTCAGCTGTATTCTTTGACATTTGTCTCATATTTGTTCCCCTGGCTTGGATTTTTGAGGGATGAAGCAACTCAAAATTATATCAAACTCATGTACATATTCGTGGTTTGCTTAATGATTTCAGTGAACAAAACCTCTCTCACTGTTTTGTGAGCTATCAAGGAACAATTTCCAAAAGTTCTTTCTCAGGTACAATAGAGTGAAAACAGTCCATAAAACAGATTGCTCTATATATTGAAAAGAGAGGGATGATTTAAATTTCTGTATACAGCTACAAATAGTCCAGTAGACACAGTGCAAGGAAGTGGGGAGAGAAAACTAGGAATGGAAAAGAAAAGGAAGCCATGAAAATGTGATGCTGGGGCCCAGGGCTTCACTGCAGAGAACCAGAGTGAAGGTGGAGCAGAGACGGAGTCACTTCATACCCAGAGATAATTTTTTGAAGTCCTTTTAGTCAAATTGCTAGCATCACACAACCAGAGAGACTGTATTTTAACTGTGGTACCTTTTCACTTCTCCTGATTATCTCTGACTCAATCTGAGGTTTTGTTTTTCTGATTAGTAATAGAGGACCTGGTATCTGGCATTCACCTGTGTTCATAAGAGCTAGCCAGGAAGAATGATCAATGAGTAGCAGCCACAGAGCCCCACAAACTCCTCCATTTCCCACTGCTCCCCAGCTCCAGTGGCTGGAATCTGACTGCCTGTGAGGCCGGGCGCAAGCCTGGAGTGGAGCTGTGGCTTCGGCTCGGCCACTGCTTAGCAGGTTTCCTGTGGCCTCATTGTCACATTAGTCTTTGCCCCTTTGGTGTAACCACTGACAATCTCTTGGGTTCATCTTCCCTTTGCAGTTTCACTGCTGGTCCACTTACTTGAAGGTCCGTATATAGAAGCAGTGGGCTGGGCAGGAGGATGGAGAGGCCAGACCACATGACCGGGACTGCAGTAGGTCCCCATCCATCTCCTCCATCTATGAAGGATGTAGCTGCCAAGCCCAGAGGTGAAGGGTTGATTACTAGCTTTTGGATGGAGTGTCTATTGTGTTTCAGATCCATTTCCCAGAAAGCCCGCACTGGACCTCGTGCCCGAATGGCCCAGTCCTTGGGTAGGGATGTTGTTTCCATGAATCCTGGACCTTCGGCTTCTGTCTAAGAAGCCATAGTCTGGATCCACCAGGGCTTTTACACATAAGACAGACGCCGTGCGCTGCTCCCATGGAACATGCCCTCTTCCCTATTTCCTGGTCGCTTGCTGCCTGCCTTTGAAAAGAGGGAAAAGACCCTAAAATGACTACTTGAGGAAATAACTGTTCTGACATCCCTAATTGGGGCATCTGCATTGTCTTGGTGCTGCCATCACTTCTGTCTGTTTGCATTTTGAAGAACAGCCCTCACAAGTTGATTCCTCACTCTCCATGGAATGCAGATGCCAGGTGAAAATGAATCAAGAAGGGTAGTGAGCACAGAGCTTCCGAGCCCAGCTCTTCCGCACAGTGTCTCTCCTCCGTGCCAGCACTCAAGCTTTGGCATTCCCTCTCTTCCTATATTTCTGTGCCAGGAAAAAACAACCCACCACCTGAACAGCAGAGGAAAGGAATACATAGGGTTCCCAGGCACTCACGATTGCCAGCAAGACAGCTTGTGCCACATGGGGGGCTGGAGGGGGACTTGGAGATCATCTGAGGATTTCAGCAAAGAACATTCTCCAGGCGCTTCTTCAGCATTAGACAAACACAGCGCCAGCGGTGAGAATGTGCAGGGGCCCGCACCAGGATGTCCCACCCACATCCCCAAATAGCTCGTTGCCCTGGGAAACTGACCTTTCCCATTTCAAAGCCTGGAAGGCCCCGCTTCACAAATGTCAGAGAAAAATCCAGCCCCACTTCTTGATGTTCACCCATCAAGAGCAGAAAAAGAGACTAAACAGAGCAATTCCTGAAAGAAAGCCTCGGTCTTCACCCCCAGTGGGCTTATACTCAGTCTGGATTTCCCTCGTAATGAAAGGCAGACATCAGAACGTGAAGCATGAGGGTGTGCCTTGGGGAGATACCAGTGTCTTTGCAAGAGGTTGGGTATAGCTGCCTGCATTGGAGGGTATTTTCTGGGAGCCTGCATATTGTCAGTCTTTGTATCGTCTTGCAAAGGATGGGACAGTGGGCCTCATGGCCTTGAAGCTGTTGTTCCCAGCCCCCCCCCCCCACTCTACTCTATAGACAGAAATGCTTCTTTTGTTTTATGAGATCTTGTTGTGGTTGGGTGTCGTTTTTGAATTATAGTGATCCGTGTGACAGGTTAGAACTGCCCCAGTGTTGTCTGGGCTGTGATCTTTACAGGAGCAGATCCCCAGGTCTTCATCTGCAGGGCCACTGGGTCGATCTGTGCCACCAACCTTTCGTTTACAGGTTGAGTGCTAAACCACTGTGCCACCAGGGCCTTACTAAGATACAATTCACCCCTTTAAAATGTGTAATTCAATGGCTTTAGTGTATTCAGAGTTATGTAATCATCATCATGGTCAATTTTAGAACAAAAACCAAATTCACTGCCATCCAGTCAATTCTGACTCATAGTCACCCCCATTGGGTTTCTGAGGCGGTAAATTTTTACAGAAGTAGATTGCCCCATCTTCCTTCCACAGAGCGGCTGGTGGGTTAGCAGTCAAATGCCTTAGGCACTGTGCCACCAGAGCTCCCTAGGATATTTTTATCACCCCCCACCCCAAAAAAACCCCATACTCTTTTATAGTCACTCCCCATTTCCACCCAGCACCCCCCATTCCCAAGGAGCTCTGGTAGCATAGTGCCTAAGGCACTTGACTGCTAACCAGAAGGCTGGCGGTTCAAACCCACCAGCCACTCCTCGGAAGGAAGGTTGGGCAATCTACTTCCTTCGTGATACTGCCTCGGAAACCCAAGGAGGGGTCGCTATGAGTCAGCTCCGACTCGTTGGCACATAGCAACAACAACAACACCCCACATTCCCTAGGCAACCACAGAACTGTCTGTATAGATTCGCTTATTCTGGATATTAAACATAAATGGGAAAACATTCTATTTTTGTAGCACCTCTGTTTCTGGCAAAGCCAGAGTCAGAGATTCCCAGGGGAAGCATCTCCACACCTCCATTGTTAGGGAGCTTTTTCTAACCTGGACTGAATGGTGACAGAGTGAGTGGCCTTTCTCTGCTGTCCCCTAAAGGTGAGCTTTGATTATGAAGTATTTGAGGTTACTACTGCTATTTATGTACAATTTGAGAGTATTTGACAAAGAATTTCATTTTGGCTTCATTTGAGTAGTATTGCAAAACTAGAATGCTTTTAAATCTTCTGTCCATTTTTTAATTCATTTTCTAGGTAGTAGAAGGTCAGGAGATTTGTGTGATTGAAGCCATGAAAATGCAGAACAGTATGGCAGCTGGGAAAACTGGCAAGGTATGTCACTGTGGCCCCCCACACCAGGCCAGCTTTGAGACAGGAAACAACCTACACCTTTGAGTCGTGGACTATCAGGCCTCCAAGGGACCATAGCGATCATCCTGCCCACCCTCCCCTTCACAGATGAGGACCTTGAGATGAAGAGTTCTGTCTCTCTGCACTGAGGCATCCCTGTGTCACGTAGAGCAGGCCTTCCTTCCAGAAATGGGTCTGTGTATTATGCTCAGGTAGTCAAAGAACAATTGTTCTTTACCTTAATGTCTTTCAAATTAAGGGGTCTTTAATTTTTAATGTTTACATCTGTCTTGGAGCCAGTTAGTTATCTGAGACTTAGGTGACACAGCAGGAAATGGCTTTACAGATTGCAAAAATTAATGCAACTCTTCATGATAATTTCTTCACAAAGAGAACAATTCAATTTTAGATCAAGAGTAGCTGAAACCCCCACGTACCCATGTGGGCCTTAATGATTTGGTGGGAGAAGATGAATTAGTACTGAAATTTGTTCAGAGCAAAACTTCTTAAATGTATTTTCTCCTTGGAGAAAATAAAAATGTCCTTTTAAGCAATAACTCTATTACTCTTCCTGAGACTAAGACACTGTTACTAGGAAAACGATCCTTTTCGGAAGGATGTTTGGGTTTGGCAGCATGATGGTGGGTGATGGCAGCACGGGCTGGTTGTGTCCTGCACTCCTGGGAAGTAAAATCCAGCCACAAGGACATCTGTGCTCTGGTAGAGAGAAATACAGCAGTTCACAAAAAAAGTTTGTGGTCAGAGACAGCCTCTGTCTACATACCATGGTCTGTCACTCCAGAGGAAATGAAATGGACTGTCCGAGAACAAGCCGAGCAGGATGCCCGGGCAGAGCCAGCTTAAAGGGCAGAGGCCCCAGGCTGGCTGGTGGCCCCGAGCATGCGTCTGGTGGAATGAGAGGCACAGGCAGCTGCACCCACAGTGAGATTTGGTGGAGAGTCAAATGATAGAATTTGCAGTTTTTTAGAAATCCTGGTTTCTAAATTTGAGAACTTTCTAAAAAATGAACAAGGAAATGTTGGTTTATGTTAGTGTAAAAAGTTTCATGTTTGTTCACTGGGTTTATTTATTTAACATTTATCCTGTGCTAGCATCATGGAATTTCCATCCGTGATGAGAACTTGGCATTAGTCTTAGTGGCCAGAATAAGTGTCAGCTGCATGCCAAAGTCCCTGTGTTGCTAGACTAAGGGGTAAGTGGTCCTCAGCCCTAAAGGACGACCCGTCTGCACGTGTCCTTCATCATGTCCTGGGTCTCGAGGCCATCAGCAGCCTGGGGCTGCTTTCCCAGGGGTGCTGGGGAGGGCCCAGTGACCTTGTGCTTGGACCCAACCTCTATTAGCTGTGTTCTGTCTTGTCCAGCCCAGAGGGGCAGGCCCTGGCTGAGGCAAGGGGCTGGGGGCTATTATCTGGGAAGGTCATTTTCCCTCCTAGAGAAAAGGTTCACAGTGGAAACAGATCCCCCACTCCAGTAATTGCAGCATCATTAAAAATACATCATGTACAAACATCGGAGGCATCAAGATTGTAAGAAAGCAGCCACTTCAGTCCGGATAGCATCTGCTGGATGCGGCCTTTGAAGTATTCATTGCCTAGGTTCACATCATTCTTAAAAACCCTGGGCTTGCATTTAAGAGAAAAAGGCCCTTGTAGTCTGCTCACAATGGAGTGGCAGGGAGCACTGGTGAGCGTACCAAACCAGACATCGCTGGCATTTTCCTGTTAGCCAGTCGCCCATACCGCCAATTAGCACTAATCCATTGTTCATTTTCATGCCCAAGCAAGCCCCTACAAGAAGTCAAATGACTGTGTCTTCCCTGCTAAATCTTTGAACACAAATTTGGGAAAGGGAGAAATCAGTAGAAGGGAAAGGCACAGCCCCAGCCTTCCTGGGAGCTGGGTGTGTGTTGCGCACTGCCTGTTGTTCCACCAAGTACAGTCTGTCCGTCCACAGACCTTCTAGTTCCTTTCCATTTCCCTCCAAAAGAAGCGTATGACCAGGCTAGGAAGTTTCTCTTTTATTTAGTACCTATTTTAAATATTGTATAATTTTGTACTTTTTGTTGTTAATACTAAATTGAGTACACAATTAACTCTCAAAAAGCATTTCTACAACCTGAATCCAGGAGAAAGTTAGGCAGGCTGAGTGTGAAAACTCCTCTGGCATCACCGTTTGGGGTATTATAGGATACTGCCTACACACCCTGACTTCCACAAGGTGTCCGAGAGGGAACTGCAGCAAGAGTCTCCCCTGGACCAAGAGCTTCTCGGGCTCCCAGGACAAAAGAACTTTGAAAGGGGAGGGTGATGAGGCCCAGCTGTGCCTCAAGGAGGCCTCCCTCTCTGCCAGGCGAGAGCTGAGTGGACTGTCCCTGTGCCCCAAAGCCTGACGAGACCTTCTCTTCATTTTCAGGTTCAGTTTGGGAGACTGCCTCCCTCCAAGTTCTGCTTAATGATTCTTACTCTCTACTGTTTTTTTTTTTTTTTTTTTAATTCAAGGTGAAATCCATGCACTGTAAAACTGGAGACACAGTTGGAGAAGGAGATCTGCTCGTGGAACTGGAGTGAAGTATTTATAGCCCTTCAGTCATCACCCAATTTAATTAGCCATTTTTATTATTTCTTTTTCACACTCAATTTATTCAAGCATTTTACAGGAACACTCCTGCGCTGCAGATTTTACATGGTCATATTTATTCCACATATAGTCAAAACCAGCATTCTGCCAAAAAATCACCAATGGAAATTTTTATTGATATAAATACTTGTACATATGACTTGTGCTTCTGCTGTGAGATTTCCTAATGTCAAATTAAATCAATAAAACTGAGCATTTGTCTAAATATTAGTTTGCCCTTTTTTTGAATGAAGACAATGTACACAGGAGGATACAGTCTGTGCCAGTACACTTTAAATACTTGGATTTCATTGTTATCCTTTTTTAAAAAATTACATAAATTTCCAGTCCTCTGCTTATAATTTTATTAAATTATCATTTGCCATCTTATGATCTGATTACCTTATGTCTTCCATAGTTAAGGACCTAATAATGCCTGTTTCTGATTATTCCTAACTTCCTAAAGACCATATAGCATAGCTGATGGTTCATAAAAACACCCTTCATGCTGTGGCTTTACATGGGGAGTCTTGTATCTAAAGGAGCCCTGGTGGTGAAACAGTTAAGTATTCAGTTGCTAACCTAAAGGAAGGAGGTTTGAACCCACCCAGTGACACTGCAGGAGAAAAGACCTAGGATCTGCCCCCATAAAGATTATAGCCTAGGAGACCCCACAGGGCATTTCTCCTCTGTCTTAAGGGTTGCTATGAGTCAGAATAAGGAGCTCTGGTGGCATAATGCCTGAAGCATGTGACTGCTAACCAGAAGGCTGGCGGTTCAAACCCACCAGCCACTCCATGGAAGGAAGAGTGAGTGGGCAGTCTACGGCCTTGGAAACCCAGTGGGGGTTGCTATGAGTTGGAAGGGACTCTATGGCAGTGGGCTTGGTTTGGTGTTTTTGGTCTGAGTCAGAATGGACACAGCAGCAGCAGCCTTGGATCTAAGTGGCCTCCTCTGGTGTGTCACGCTGGGGAGAGCTGACGTGTGCACATGCTGCCAGAACTCTGGCAGCAGCAGATTGCACAGCCCTCTTCCCAAGGTGCTCGAGCACAGCCTTCCCCACTCCCCCAGGGTGGGTTGTGAACAGGGAGTTCCCTCACACCAAGCACCACTGTGTGCTGCTACCACAGGCTCATCGCTGATGCCCATTTTTTGTGTTTTTTTTGTGAAGCAAGTTCCCAATTAAGAAAAACAGGCTAAAAATAATGATCATGCATTTACACCAGATGCAGTTAGTGATCACAGTGTACCATTAAGTTGAAGAGTGAGTGAGATTTCCCAACAGAGAATGAGGTCACTAAGGACCAGCAGCTGCATTTTCATTTGGTCCTGAAATTCTTGGAATGCATTTCATACTTTGCTGGTGAGGAGAAGCAAAGAATCGTGCACAGATTTGAATCTCCACTGACAAAATATCAGATGGAGGTGGGTAGTAATTGGTACTTCGTGCCTTGCTAAAATTATTTTAAGTGCTGTTTGTATTTGGAAGCTAAGCTTTCTGTCAGGACTGAAGAACAAATTACTAATATTGGCTCTTCTCTGAAAGGCCCACCTCAGAGTTGTTAGCCTCCAGGAGTCAGTGATGGGGCCTTGGTTGTGAGAGCCAGGCTTGGGTAGACTTCCCCTGGGAAGTCAGGGCCCTCCACTGTGTCTGCTGGCAAGTGGGTGCTTGTGATTGCGCTGGGTTAGGGTGAGCAGAACCTTCTACTGAGTCAGTAGACCCCAAAACACGGGCAATGCAGCAGGGGTACTTTCATGTTTTATTTCCCAAAACATCTCATTTAATTTTAAATAATTATTTTAAATAGCCTCTGCATAAAGACCATCTGAATATTGAGTAATCTATTTCCGTAGAGATACTGCCTCGGAAACCCAAGGAGGGGTTGCTATGAATTGAGACCAACTTGACGGCAGTGAGTTTGGTTTGGTTTCTAAAAGACAGCATATTTTTGTGGAGGAATTTTTTTTTTATTACATTGAGCCATCCAAAATCAGCTTTTTTAAAAACAAACAAACAAACAAACAAACTTCTGGGTGCTGCAGACCAGAATCAGTACAGCAGAACTGCTAAACTCTAGCTGCAACACAGTGTCTTTACATTTGTTTAAAATGTTATCTTCACATTAAAGCAAAGCAAAGCAAAGCAAAAAAAAAAAAAAAGATTACACATGAGTTCTATCTAAATGCCATTTAGGGCAATTAAAACCCTAAATTTTTCTTATCAAAAACATTCAAGCCCACCATGTATTTTTAGCAGCTACCAATACAGCAGCATCTGATTGATTAAAGGGGAGGATCTGGTTATTAGTATGTCAAAATTATTTGTAAAACTGGCCTTCACTGAAAGAGAGTGTTTTTCCCCCCACAAGACTGAGTTTTATAAATATTTGTTTAAAAGGGCATTGTTATCCTTCTTCATTCAATGAGCACAGATTAAGATGAGGTAGTCTTATAATCATCGGGGCTATCTTCGTCCTCTGACGGCTGAGTGTTCCTCCCCATTTTCACCTGTTTTCCCGTGGATTATAACGAAGCCCATGCTTCCCCTGAGAGTCATAATTTTCATGGTATGGGAGATGGACCCACTCTGGCGGGTAGGTGGCTGTGCTATACACGAAGCACTGTACGATCCTGTGAGCAGCTGGCGTTTCCTCAGGGGCGCTGCACTTACCTTCCCACTCTAGTACTTCAATCGTCACCAGAGTGCGCTGATACATGTCTGGGCAGCCTTCAAACTCATCAAGGAATTGCAGCATCTGGTCATCAACAACATAGATCTCTCCAGCCACACAGCGTCCCTGTCCTGGGAGGTTCAGCAGGCGTGGAATGTTATGCTCTCCGGCAATCACCAGAGGGTAGGGCTCCACCGTGCGGCCCCGGCCCCAGAAGGCTGCTGTGCCGTTGGTACTGTCCAGCATGACTTGATGGTTGGGCTGTCCTCTCTTGAGGGTCCCATACACGAAAACTTGGGCCATTCTGACTAGAGAAGCTACAAAGGAGAAAGGAAACACAAACTGTGATCCATATTATCCATGTCAAAGAAATGACCAATGCTTTCAGTCTGGAGTCAGGACTGGCAATGCTGTCCTGTAAAGGGCCTGACAGCAAACATTCTAGGCTTTGCAGGCCATGGGATCTTTGTCACAGCTGCTCAGCTGTGCTGCCGGAGCATGAAAACATCCACAGACAAAGTGCAGACGAATGCATATGGCTCTGTGCCAATGAAACTTCATGGACACTGACATTTGAATTTCCTATCATTTTCATATAGCACAAAATAGCCTTATTCTGATTTTTTTTCATTCATTTAAAAATGTAAAAGCCAATCTTAGCTTATAGGCCGTATAAAAAACAGCTGCGGGACCTGATTTGGCCAACCCTTAGTCTAGAGAAGGGGGCAGATGTTTGTGACTAAAATTTTTCACATATTTGAGGAAAATTTGTTGACGATGGCTCTGCTTTTTGCTTTGAGGCCCACAGTGCCCTTAATGTTGAACTGGGTGCTGAAAACCACAGGACACACACAGCACACTTGTTCAATTGTGTCAGGAAGGTGGGTATAGCGACCACCCTCTGACTCCTCCACCCAGGTGGACTTAAGCTCTTCAACAGAACTTCTCATTTCAGATAGTGGACCTGGGTCTTACAGAGGCCCGCAAGCAGCCCAGGGTCTCGATGTCAGAACGACTTAACGTAAGAGATGCTTTCCCAAATCTAACCACTAAAGTAAGAATGATCCTAGTTAGGCCTAAACGAGTACATGCTATCCTTTGCTCAGAAAACACAACTTAGCATACAACTGTCGCAACCCCAGAGTAGACCTAGCTTCCCTGACACCCTGAGAGGTCACCAACCCTGCAGCCCCACTGCCACAGGGCAAACCCCACCTCCCCGCCCCCGGGAACAGCACAAGGCCACAGGAAGCCTTGTGTGGCCCAAGACATACAACATACCTGCCTGGGTAAGCCTCTGCTCCCGGCACCCAGCACTACCCCAAGACCCACTCCTCTTGGTTATCGTGGTGGGGGTTAAGAGGTTCCGGGAAATGCCCACCACCTTTTATAGAGGGTTCTTGGGAAGGGGTCCTCATTTGAAGAGCACAATCAGTGAGATGGCTACAGCCTATTGTGAAGTCAGGTCCTACAGAACTGCCATTTTCCAGAGCAGACAGTTTTCAACCTTTCTGGAAGAATTACACAATCAATATTTATTAAAGTAAGGAATAAAGATTAAAAAACTTTTTTTTGGAATTGCCTGTAATGCAGCCACAAGAGATAACTGAGGATCCAGCACTCCATTTACCTTCTGGTCCTGACAGTGTCACCCAACAAAGCTTCAAGGTCTTGGAAGGAATGACGCTTTGCTGTGACTCACTGCAGCAACCTTGGCTGGGAACAGTGAAGGTAAATGTTTACTGCCGGCCTGTGTCTGGGCCACAGGCTGTTACATAATCAACAAAAGTCATTTATGTAAAAGTAATTCCAACGAAAATGGAAACAAAAGTTAAAACGGTGAGGAGGCTCGTTCTTCAGACCCTTGCATTTCACTGTCCTGTCTGCCTAACACTATTTGATAAAAGACTTGTGGCAGTCTTGTCTGAGACCAGCTTTCAAAACAGCACTGCCTGTGCAGGCAAACAAAAGACACGCCTGTCTCCCAGCAGCGGCCAACGACTGGCCCAAAACATTGAGGGGATGACCCTAGGACACGTGTGTGTCAAGAGAGCTCTGCCAGCAATACCTGTGTGCATGTTGGGAAAGTCACACTTAATTCACAGGACTTCTGTTTTCTCAGCACAATCAGACCTGGACTGGGGACGTGCAGTGGGGGCTCAGGCTTGCCTCCCCCTCTCCAGGCTGCTAATGGCTTAGTGCACAACCCTCCTTCTGGTCTCCCTGTCTCTCTCTGTCTCGTCACTAGCCTGCCCATGGAACGTCAAGTGCCACACAGGTCTCAGACAGGTCACACTAGCAAAAGTTTGCCATGGGAAAACACAAGGCTGGCTGTGCCAAGGGGGAAATGGGGGCTGGTGGGTGGCGTTTGATAGTGCTGAGCAGAAGTGTATGATCTGAGCTCCATACAGGATGGTTCTGATAACACTGGGGAGGACAGATTACAGTAGGTGTGGGCTTGACGGTGTAGAAGCCTGCCTGAGATCAGAAATCAAGATGTGAATCAAGGGGAATCTGGAATAAGGTGTGCAGAAGGAAGAGGAAGACGCTGGAGCTTTGGAGTTAAAATCAACAGGACTCTGCTGCTTGGTGAACTTAGGGAAGGAGGGGTCATTAACAGGGATAAGGAACATAGGAGGAGGTGGACTTAGTGAAAATAATAACATGAATTAACATGAGAGTAGAATTTGTGGGCAGAGTCTTGAGAAGAAAAGAAAAAGGGTAAGGACTTTGGGGAGCATCTATAGAGTGACAGAATGAGAAGGGACTGTCTGAGCATGGGATATGGACAGACAGTGTCTGTGGCTGAGGGGCCATCAAGAAAGATAGGAACTCAGAAGACGGTGAGGGGTTTGGATCTGGTTGTGTGGCAGCCTGGAGACCAGTCCTTTGGAAGGAGTCACCCTGACTTCTCACTCCCACACTCTGCATCCAATCCCCTAGTGCTGATTGCCGGTTGCCCTGCATTAGTTCTGATGTGTGGCTCCCTTGTGTGTCAGAGTAGAACCGTGCTCCAAGGGTTTTCCTTCAGAGGCTGATTTCTGGTGGTACATTGCCAGGCTTTCTCCCTAGGTACCTTTGGGTGGATTCAAACCTCCTGTCTTTCAGTTAGCAGCTGAGCACATGAACCGTTTGTATGACCCAGGGACTCCAGTCCTCTAATAAGACTTGTCAATTCCTCCTTCAAGTGGTAATCAGGTTCTGACTATTTCTCACCCCTACTCAAAGGACTGCTACCCCGTCTTCTAACTGGGTCCCTACGGCTTTGCTCCTCCACAGCCTAGTCTTACACAGCCGCCAGAGATCCTTGTCACTCTGCTTAAACTCTCCCACGACTCTCCATCCCAGTGCCCCGCAGGCCACCCCTTATCTCCCTCCAGCCACACTGAGTACTCTCTAAGTCCGGAACATACCCACAGACTTTAAAATCCAGTTACCTGGGTTGAAACCCTGGCTTTACCACTCACTACTTACGTGCCTTTAAGCCAGTTACTTAAAGTCCGTGTGCTTCAGTTTCCTCAGCTGTATAATGAGGTAAGAATGGCAGCCTGCCTCAGAGCACTGTTGTGAGCTCCGAATGAGGTAATGCATGCAATGCACGCGGACTGACTCTGGCCTGTGTGGTAAGCCTGCATTAACTGCTGGTGTTGTTAGCAGCTACCAATGAAATGAAATGCTGCCTGGTCCTGCCATCCCCGTGATTGGTTGTAGGTCAGAATGTTGTGATCCATGGGGTTGTCATTGGCTGATTTTCGGGAGTAGATCCCCAGGCCTTTTTTCCTTGTCTGTGATAGTCTGGAAGCTCCAGTGAAACCCGTTCAGCATCAGAGCAGCACACAAGCCTCCACTGACAGACGGGTGGTGGCTGGGCATGAGCTACACGGGCCGGAAATAGAACCCTGATCTGCACGAAAGGTGAGAACTCTGCCACTGAACCACCACTGCCCCCAGTAAATGTTTGCTATTATTATTATTACTACACAAACCAGAGACTTGACTCTCCTAACCACCACACATACACATACACATACACACACACATACACACACTCTTCCCCTACCACCCTCCCAATATACTTTCATCACAATTTTGGTTAAAATTATATTCAGTTCAATCTTCTTGTTGTTATATGCCGTTGTGTCAGACTCGACTCATAGCAACCCATCCTTGGGTTTCCGAGGTGTTATCACTATGGAAATAGATTGTTCAACCTTCCTTCTGAGGAGTGGCTGGTGGGTTTGAACCGCCAGCCTTCTGGCGAGCAGTCAACTGCCTTAGGCACTACACTACCAGAGCTGCACTCAGCTAAGGCACAAAGTTTACCATCACTGAATCTCCTTTCTTGGACAAATTTCTGTTTTTCTTGGAAATACAAATTGCTTTAGTTTTCCCCCCATTTTTGCTCAAGTTTCTGTGACATGAATTGAGCCTCAAATTTTCTGAGCTGTAATAGTCCTTTCAGGATGTTCACTCACATTTTATGGTCTATCGGCCATTCTTCCCGGAGCCATCCCTCCCGGAGGGATGTGCCTCCTGTCCAGGCAGGGCTGCGGCAACGAGCCACCCAGCATCTCCCTTCACCATCACTCTGGGACTTCCTTTTGCCCCTCCCCTGCACTTGAGT